AATCCCCTACCCTGGGCTAAGCCAGGAGCCCCTCCCACACTTCAAACTCCTTGGCTCAAGACCAGAGCCTGCACCCCAACTCCCTACCCCAGGCTGATGACAGTGAGTGAGAATGGGGGAGGAAGGGGAGATGGAGTGAGTGGGTGAGGCCTTGCAGAAGGAGTGGAGCAGAGGCAGGGCTTTAAAGAAGTGGGGGGAGAAAGGTGGGCAAGGGTATTTGGGTTCGAGGTAGATCTTACATTGCACTTAAATTGGAAAAGTGATCTTGTGTTTAAAAAGGTTGGAGACCACTGCATTAATCTATATACTGACATTAAGATATGAACAAAAGCAAAGTGCTGAAGGGAAAAAAAGCAGAAGATAAATATACATCTTCTTGCAAAATAATTTGAATCCTCTTTCACTGCTATCACCTATTCAAGTGTTTGAAAATGCTGCGCTCACACTGAAATGTTTTGTTTCCTTATAGTAGAGTGGGAGAAAAGAACTAACATTTTTCATGCAGGTGGAGGGGAAAATAAGAATATAATGGTTTTCATTATCAATTAAAAAAAACTATTGAGTGATAAAGGCCAATTGTTGCCTTTACTGGTGTTTTAAATACAATCTACGCCTAAAATTAAGTTTTAAGAGGAGATAATTGTATAGCACTTGCCCCTTCCTTGGATTTTGTAGCTAGAGTCTCAGTTTCATCCTTTTATTCTTGTTCTTCCACAGATAGCATAGAATGTTGAACAGGCCTCCCTCTAGAGTCAGCAGATACTACTGGGATGGTTGTTAGACAACATAAGATACATCTTTTCTCAGAGCAGAAGTGCACTGTGTGCACTCCCAGACCTCTGCTAATATAAGGCACGAAGACTACATTTTGTTCCTAATAGGGACATACAGGTAGTAGCCTACAATGCCAGTCCACTGCAGGTTTGTGGGCTTGCAATATCAACTTTTTTTTAAATGGTTCTCTCTGTCACAATCAATCTTCCTTTTTCTGCCTCTTGTTACTAGTTGCCTCCCCAGGAATATACACAACTTGTGTTAGAAGTCTGAGGAGGAACATCAGTGTGAAACTGATGTAATTATAGTTTTACGCCACTGTTCTCGATATATCAAGAAGAAATTGTTTTGTACTATGTTAGTTTAATCTGCCTTTCAGCTATGGTATGACCAGAGAGGGAAATAAACAATGAATTATAACCAAATGAACAAGTAACTAAAATTTTACTAGAAAATAATTTTAGTTTACTCAGCACCTCAACTGTAAGTCTTCACTGCCAAAACCTAAGTCTTACTGCTGAACATAATACATGAAAAAGTTTTGTCAACCTGTTCTGAAATGATGTAGTAACCTGCTTCGAAGTTCAGTGTATTTTCTTGATGAAGCTGCAAAACACAAGGTAATTTTTCATAATCTGGATAGTTTTATTTTATTGGATTACTCAATTCATACAGTAAGTCTGAAGGATTGCTTTTCCATGGAATAGTTCTTAAATCAGACAATATTAAATATTACAAGGTCTCTGAAAGAGGCTGGATTTATTTTTACCCAGCTAGCCTTTTGCTAGACTCATGTCAATCACTACATTCAAACTTTTACTCAGACTCAGAGGGCAGAAGGGACCACCGTGATCATACAGGCTGACTTCCTGAACATTGCAGGCCACAGAACCTCACCCACCCCTTCTTTCATAAAGTCCTGCCACAATCCAGATCCTTCCCCTCCCCCACATACGTATGTATTTGTAAAGAAAATTGAATTTTACAAAATAGATTTATTTAGAAATGGGTATTCTCAACCCTTCCTCACGACTTGGGAAGATGCATCCAATTAATGGTGAGTCATTCCATATCAGAAATGTCCTGTTTAGATCATACTGGCAATACCACTAATGAACTACACTGCTCAATATGTAGAACAACTATTTTTTCTATCACATTACTACCTTTTTCAGTCCAAAACTGTAAAAGGAGGTTTCCAGACTTGTGGACATGGCTTCCAGGAAGGGTAGGGTGAGAGAAAGCTACTCATTTTGGATTGCCAGATCCACTATACTTACTTTAATTAAAAGAAATCTAATTACTGTGTACAGTGAAGAGCAGAGGAAATCAGAAATCACCTGCAGAACTAATGAAGTCTGATAGCCTAATATGCCAAATGTTACTGACATCTTTATCTCAGCCAAATATAAAAGAAAGCTAATATACACTGATTAGCACTGATATTCTTATTCCGCAAAACCACAGCCAACTGACATGTTAGAAAAGTTAGTAGTCTCTTAGTATGGAACTCCATGTTCTGAAAAAGAAAGTCTAGCTTTAAGTGGGTTTCAATCATCCGATGAGAGTGCTTTTTTCACCTTTAGTCAGAAAAGGTTGTAGATTCTCGGGCTCTACAAAAATCCTTGTCCATCCATAGTTTGGAAATTACTAGACAGGCTTAGACTGAATCAAGAAGGCACCATTTGTAAGAGCTTCCTCTTTCCTAAAAAAGCTGAATAAGATTTCTTGAAGGCAACATGTGACCAAGGTCAAGAGGGGCTTTGCCTAGAACTTTGTTCTTTGACTATTTTGATCCAATACCATTCTCAGGTGCAGATGGCCCATTTTTGTGCTGTTTGCCCTATGGATTAGTTTCCTTCAAAGTATTTTCAATAATTTTTCTTTGCTTTTGGGGATTTTATCTTCCTCAAGAGTGTCATAGTCCACATACTGTTTAACTAATTAGAACATCCTACTTTCAGATCCCATCTGAGGATCTCTTCTCATCTGATTCTCCACATTTCTCTTTGGGAAGTTTCCTTGTATAAAAGGCTGACAGCTACTTCCACAATAATTTTTCTTTTTTTCCTTCCCTCAGTAAAAGAGAGCTTGTCCGGGATATGCACATAACCCACTCAAAGTTTCTATGCTAAACAGAAATTCACCACAATCTCATGCTAACCAATGTAAATCAATACTTTTGGCATATCTGCACCATCAAATTCGAGAAATATACTCAATCCCAGTGGCCATATGTAAAATGTTTCTATCGTATTGAAAACTGATTTAAAAAACCCCACAAGTTTGAGAGATTTCCTATTAAAGATAATGGAGGAATCCAGTAGAACTAGTAAAGATTTTCGAACAAGTAGTAATTAAGTATGTCCACTGTATTATAAAGAGCCCTATTTCACAAAATAGGCTAGCTTTTACTTTTTAAGTTATAAAGTTTCCCTTCATTTGAAAAAATACTGAGCTGTAGTCACATTCTTCGGTGCTCAAATTTGATACCATCTTCCCATTAAAACCTCTTTCTGAATATTTTAGTGCAGATTTTCAATATTAGCTGTCCATTTAAATAATGAATTAAAGCTATTTTGATGTTCTTATGTTAGGTGCCACTTTTCATATTTTTGTTACCCTTTCCAACTTCTGAATTTGGGATGTGATAAGTATTTTCCAAGCATCTTCTGCATCTAGGAAGGGTATGGTGTCACACAACTCCTGGACAATGAAAGACTACAAATGACACTGCAGTTAACTTAAATACCCTTCCATGGATTCTCTCAAGATTAGGTAATCTGGCCTCTTCACATCCATTTCCACAGGTTTCCCAATTCTATAGTATTTACAGTATTCCAAGTGCCTCCTCATGTTTTCATCATCTTTCACAGTTTTATTGTTTTACATGAAACTTCATTTCTCTGTTTTGACTTCTTCATCCTAGTCTCCGATGGAGTTTTCTGCACAAGCCTGCAATACTTGACTCAAAACAGCAGAATATAATTTTAGACTTAAAGCTCTTTGGAAGTTTTTCACTGCCTGTACAGTTCCTAGTATGATGGGTCTTTACACTTCTTTAGAATTCTAGGCACAATGTTATACATATACTACTATTAACAACATATAAAGCATGTCTTGTTTTAATGATCATTTTGATTGCAGAGTCTTTTAACAAATCATAGTGAGAGATGTTCCAGATATTATAACTGATACAATGAAGACAGCTAGGTTTTCTCCAAGTTTGAGGCACACAAACAAATGAATAGTTGAGCTGTTAAGTCTGAAGTAGCCTTAGGATTTGACTGGCTTAATCATTCATACAGAGAGTCATGACTGTACTCCATTATGACAACAGCTAATATTAGCAGTGTGGAGTTTAACAAAAGAAGAAGATCCAACACTGGAAGCAAGTCTCCAAACTCAAGTGGTCTAGAAATACCAAGTACATGGAGTAATAGGGGATGGGATGGTAAGCACTGTAGGAGTCCACATTCACCAGAACATATTTTCCATTTTGAAATGGTACAAACTGGTACAGTGAACTGTAATAGAAATTTTAACAGCAATCCCACACACCCTTTGGAGAACCTAAAATCACAAATAATCAGAAGAAACCAAGTACAATGCCTACTTAAAGCTCTAGTGATGTATTTATTTTTTTCACCCTATGAAAAAGGAAAACACACTAAGGTGAATGGTTTGGGGTGTGGGTCAAAAATAAAGGATTATGCTGAGGAAGGACATCACTTACCTCCCTAGTCCAGAAGTTTCCCACTCAAGGGCTGGGGTGTATCTGAAGAGTAACATGTAATGGAAATTTGTAGGATTAAATTAACTGCAGCTGATTGGAAGCACCTGATGGAGAAGAGGTGAGAATACCTGCTGTTTTAGACCTGTGAATATGATAATCCCCAAAACTGGCTTTCTGGTGTTCTGCCCTCAAGTTAACTATTAAGATCAGAAGGTTTTTATCCCCTGGGGAAAAAAACTACTGAGTCAGTTACAGTAAGTTGCTGGAAAATAGTATTTTAGACAAAGAAAGAGTCCAGCTGTGGTTTTAATTAAAGCTATTAATACCACAGTACCAGTGGTTACAGAGCAGAGAAATTTAGATAGTGCCAAAGGAGTTAACAATTTTGGCTAACAAGTTCAGAAACAAAGCAATCACAAAATACAGGTTATTTAGTCTCCTACTGAGATACTCAAATGCAGAAGCTGAAACAATGAAAACCAATTCTTACCTAGTAAGTGTGTACTCCCTGAGTCCTGAATGTAGGTTCATGGCTGAAAAGGTACCTATGCATCCACGCAATCGTTTATCTCGACCAATCTTCCACGTTACAAACAGCGGGCTGTTTCAGAGAAAAAGAAAGGGTATGTCTGACTGCAGAATTCTTACAAGTGTTAAAATATTGGTAGTCAATGTGGTATTTCAATAACCTGGTATTTCAATAACCTAGTGTTTCTCTGTGTGACTGAACAGGGCCTACAAATATGCTTTGGCCATACTATTCAGAAGCCTATTTTATTGTTTCTATTTGTCTGCTCTAGAAAGTCCCATGTCAGATACAAATACTGTACTGAAAACGAGATTACACTCTAGCTACTATACTCAATGGCTAGAGAAGCAATCTCTTGCTTCCTGACATGATGCATTTTGTATTTTCATTTATCTTCAATTAGATTCTCCCGAGAAGGGAAGAAATCTTCCTTCAGACATCTCTCTGCTATAGAAGGGCAGATCTTATGAGACCTCCACAGAACACAGGATAATATCCCATTCATTACTGGTTCTACAGAAAATCCTTGCTCTTAATTGTGAGCTGAGCACTAACAGAATCCCCTGTAAAGCAGGCAAAAGGCTTTTAAGGACAGATGCTCTCTAGATTTTAAAATAGAATCCTGTACAAAGCAAATTTTCTCCATGATAGCCAAGTCTCTCTTGGTTAATGGCCTAGCTTCTGAAAGACGATAACCAGTAGTGCAAAGGCCGGAGTACTATCTTCTCTGTAAATCGTCTAATTCAGCAGCCAACACTCATTATCTGAGCTCAACATAAATCTTAATCTGTGCATGTGTAACAAATTTGCTAATTAACTCCTCATCCCCCAAAATACCCTACTCTAAATAGTAAGTTTTTGTAAGGTTGGTCTTAACCCCTATCAGTCCCACATTCACCATTCAGAAATGTCAAGAATGAAAAAAAAAAAAAAAGCCTAATTGTTTTTGTTTTTTTAAGGAAGCCTCATTAGGGGCAACATGGATTACTGACTTCCACCAGCAACACTGAACCACTTTTGTGGTGATCCTTGCATCCTATCATATATCTGTAAAATCCACATGAAGTCAATGGAAGTACTCGGCATGCACAAAGTTAAGCACAAGTGCCTAAGGGGCCAGGTCCTTGGTCTTGCATCAATTTGTGAGGATATGTGATTATATTAAATCAACATGTGACAATGTGCTCAACTTCTTAAAAACTAACTTTAGATAATCTGATTAAACAGGCTTCAGATAGTTTACAGATAAAACATACATTAGTTTTGTTAAATAAAGATCAACAGCATTTTTTACTTAATAAAAAAGAATTTGGATCAAAATTTTCCTCTACAGCCAACATTACAGCATTTCGCCAATGCACAAGAGGCAGAAAATTACACTGACTTGGAATTTTCTAGGGGTATAATCATAGCCAAGATGGAAGATAGCAGCCAAATGCAAAGAAAAAGCATAAATGATTTTTTTTAAATTGTATTTTATGACATTGAAGGTACCAAGGCAGGTAGGTAAGAGTGTTTTAATGAAACCTGAATTGGCTCATCTTAAAGTAAAATAATCTGCATGTCAACATCTAAATATTTTTGCAATTCTTTTAGCTGTCCCAAGCTATAGCATTATATTCATATGGCATAGACTGAACACTTCTCAAACTTGACATCACCTGGTTGTCCTATATTAAGCACTTGTTCCAACATCCTTGCTTTTAATAAGGGGCCAGGGCTTGAAGAAAGGGTCAGGGAAGCAGAGAATTTGGTCTCATATTGGTAGAATGAACCTAGGGGTAGTTAGTGTTTGGAACAGGGATAAAAACTGTGTGTATTGGGACAGCGGAAGGATGTGGCAGAGGAGGGATATAAGGAATATCATTGGCAAGAGAATAGAAACAACTAAGGCAAGAAGACAGAGAAGCAGGAAGTCCACTGAAATGCACTGCCCTGTGAATAGGGGCAAGTTATGGACTATAGCCATTGGACACACAACCCTATGAATGAGGGAGAGTTACTGACCCTTACCATTGAACTGCACTTCGCTGTGAATAGGGGAGAGTTATTGACTCTAGCGATTGGACTACACTACCCCACAAATAGGGGCAAATTCCCTGACTCTGGCTATTTGACCACCCTGCCCTGCGGACTAGGGAGAGTTTATTGACTTTGGCAGATAGGCCACTCAGGGAAAGAACTGTTGGCATAGCTATAGGCACAGGTTGGGGGAAAAAAGCAGAAAATTATACGGGCGCACTCACCCCGCACTGGGCGGGGTCATCCCCATCCGCGTCACAGGAGGTCAGCAAAGATAGGAGTAGGAGGGAAAAGAAAAAGAAAAACAAGAGGAGTGCACTGCATTTTCTGGAAAAGCAAACAAAATTACTTATCTGTATTTCACTACTAGGAACGTACAAATACCAGTCCTTCAGACAGACTCTAGACATGTCCTTGTTTCAGTCTTTCCTACAGGCAATTTGTCACATGGATGACTGATTGCAATGGGGTCATAATGAGATGGGGAGATATACACAAGACAGTCTGTATTAAGAAGAGTTGCATACTTATATTCTAGCCCCTGACTGTACAATTGAAGTATAATCTGGCTTCACATTTCAGGAAAAATCTGTTCACAGAAATTCTAGCAAAAGATGTGTACCATATTTGTTATCAAGACTTCAATAGTACTGTAGAAAACCTACTACAGTAAAGCATAGCTCTCTCTCTTTCTACATCTGTCTAGAGCTCAGTTAACAGGCAGGTGCTTCATCCAGTCTAACAATATCCTGAGGAAATAAATCCTTTGAATAAATACATCTAAACCAGCTGCTACTGCCTCATGAATGCTTGGGTAGGCTGCACTGACTTTTTTTTCCTAATCCAATGTCCTTTGGTCATTTTCCTTCCAAGATTACCACAGCTAGTCCGGTCAAAGTCAACCTGGTTTTGCATTGTTATTTTCTAACAAAAAAACCCAAACAAACCAATAAGGTAGTCACTGCCTTTTAAGAATGGAGCACTGTCTCTCACACAACTAATCTATAAAGTTTAAGAATCAGGAGATTGCAAAGTGAATGTGCCAAGTACTATTTTTTTCTAAAGAAACAGGCAAGATTAATACAGCTTACTTATATCCAGAAACAGTCCAGAATGCTGAAATGGCTGCATGAAAAGAGATCCCAGAAATATAGGTTGTTGCAATCACTGAAAATGAAGCTAAATTATAACCTTGGGGATATATCACCACAAAGTTCATTATGAGCTTTGAAAACCTTCTTACACTCCCCATCCACTTTCCATAGCCAACTCCTTCTTTGTGAGATAGTTACCTCTCCCTTGCCACCTTTCCTCACCAAGCCCTAAAATATTTAAAAAACCTCAAGGTATTTCAATTTTCAAGCCGTCTAAGCAGCAACCATTACTTAGAGGGCCTTTTCCTATGCTATGAAGGTTAGAGTTCATGAGACCATCGAAACATACAAAGTGCCTTTGAAGACACCACCATGGAATTTTAGAATGGTAGATGGCAACAACTGTCCTATTAAATACTGTATTACCAGTTTAGATGGTGACAGCATCTGCCATTAATGTCCCTTCAAATCACATGGCAAACTTTGAAGAGAAAACATGGAATTCCCTAGATAATGCTCTCATCTCTCAGATTATTGGAGCAATTGTTCAAAACTAATTAGTTACAATGTTGTGTGTCTGGGACCATGTTGGATCCTTTTACATCCCCCAAATAATTCAGTCACTGCAAAGCTGAAAGGGCACTGAGACTTTCAGAGCACTAAACAAGGTGGTCTGCCACTAGTGAAATATTTTGCCTCTTTTTATTAGGTTGGCAAGAGTTCACCTTCTACTGATGACAAACTGAGGAGGCAGCTGAAGATATCTCTTACTCTGCAGTTTATTAATTTTGCTTTTTGATGAACTTGAGATAGACAGCTCTTTGCTTTTTTGCTATTTTCTCAGATTTTTAAGGTGGTCTGCCACTGGGGTCAGACCTCCAGTCCAACACAGGACACAGTATTTCCCCCAATTACCACTATACTGAGACCAGTTACTTGCAGAAAGCATGACTTTGTTAAGGAAGGCAACTAGCCTTGATTTGAATATATCAAGGAAATTATTTGGTTTGAGCAGCATCACAATCTTCCCTTGCTCAAACAAGTCAGAATAATATTCTAACTGGAGCGCAGCATTTTATATCCCTTTTGTCTTAGGGTAGAGATTCATTAGCTGCATTATGCTAAGTTATACTGTAAGGAATTTAGAATTCAAAGCAGCAAATACAATGATTTACTCAAATACTTTGAGTTATCTTTTTTGGCCAAATGGGAGATTTCTTCTAAAATTAACTGATATGGCTGCTTTAAAATCATGGGGAAACCTGTATATAAATTACTGTTGAATGCCAAGGAGTTAATGGACCCCTGGAAAGTCACTCACAGAAGTATATCTATACAGTATGAATGTACCCTGAGTCCTGCCTATGATGAGAGTTCAAATTTGAATCTGGATGTTCCTAGTTCCATCACAAATTGTCAGGGAAAATGGGAGAATCATTGGTTGAAGTTTAATAAGCCATCTAATGCAGGTGGTCACAACAGACTGCCATTCTGGCCTTCATTTCTGAATCTATTAAGGCCTTGCCTGCTGCTAAGGCCTCTTACAGACAGATTTTTTTTATATACAATGTAAACTAAACAAATACGCAGGAAAAGGATAATAAATTAATTACTCTCCATACAACATCCACTTACTTTTTACCTGCTTAGTTGTATATTTCCCTTTGTTTGCCTGACTCATTTGAAAACTGATGCTGGTTTTAGGATACCTTGAGACCACAAAGCCACAACTAAACTTCCTAAGTGTTACCAACCAGAGGCCATCAAAGGTTCTCGCAATACTGTGCCTAACTCAAAACACAAGTCTGTCAAAATTATCTACTACAGACCTTATGAGACCATGGTTCTAAGATAGCGAGCTGATTACTTATTACTGGATCTCCTTATCTCCAGTTGTCAAATGTCATTAAAAAGACAGCTAAAACACAATAAATATTTAACTAATTACTTATCAATGTAAGGAATTGTTGCAAATACCATAAGAATGTTAGGTAATTGCAAATGGGGGGAAGAGTTGATTCCAGAATAGTCTACTGAAGTGTGTCAGCCACAAGAAGCTTGAAAACCCATTGTAATTCCTGCACTTTTGATTAACAATAGCCTTGTGGCTGAAATATAATCGTGGGAGTCCATAAATCAAGATTTTAACCCTGGCTGTGCTAATAAATTGGCTGTGTGGCCAGAGACAATTAATTCCTTTCCCCTTAGTCAATATTTTCACTAATAAAAGTATAAAGGAATATTATCTTACTCCATGGAGATGTTCTGAAACTTGATTTCTCAGAATCCATAAAAAACTTGGTGTGAAGGCAGGGTGCTATTACAAGTATCAACTGATATATATGTTGAAGGAAAACTTATCGCAGTCACGTTACAGCAGAATTCCAGATGTTCCTATAGTTCAGCCAAGACATACCACAGTACAATGTCTGTGTAAGTTACTATTAATACCCAAGCACTCTTCTTATTAAACTTTTAGAGCCAAAAATCACCTAAAATTTACCTGTGACCTACATTCCATGCAATGTTACTGAAAGCATTTAGTCTGAAAGCAAAAAATAGTTCAAGTGAGATATTTTTAGTAATCAGTCAGCTATTGCTGCAAAAGTGAACGAGCCAAGGATTTGTCACACTTCCACCAGCAAGTGTTTACATTTAAAAAAATCAATATTCTTTCAGTATAAGGAAACAATTCATGGAAGTTGCCATTCTATTACATGTATGTGCATATTTACGGTGTTTATATTTTTTTACATGTTTACAATGTATTTAGTGTTTCCATCTTTTATTCATTTAAATGTTCACGGTTGTGGGAAATTGGGGGGGGGGGGAAGAAATCAGACAATTTATTTAATGACAGATATGTCCATTAAAAACTAAACTTTATGAACTTAACACAAGTTTTTGACATTGCCCAAATTACAAAATAACCAGGAAATATACTTAAAATCAACAAATTACACCTGTATTTACTATTCATTTGTTAGTCCACTTGTAGCAAGCCTGATTCAAAAGTCTAAATCAACCAGAAGTCTGGGTCCCCTGGGAAGGTGGGGAGCATGAGCAGGTTTCAGGGGTCTGCTAAAAAGAGCTGGCATTGACTTACTGCATATGGCTGAAGCCCAAGGCCCCAACCCCTGCCACCCACTGCTGAAGCTGAACCACCTGTGACTTGGGGCCCTGGGCATTTATCCTGTTTGCTACCCCTTAATGCTGAGCCTGGTTTTTATATGCAGTTTGTTGTGGCACAAATGGGCAGTAGAATTTTTATAGCATGTTTGGAGTGCCACAGAAAGAAAAAGCTTGAGAATTCCAAGTCTAAATCATTGGATTTTGACACCAAGTTCTAAAGCAGCATTTTTCTCTTTAGAACCCGTAATCTTCAGTTATTAATGGAAATATTTTTCATGGGTTTGTGTGCAATTTACCAATAAATATCTAATCTTCCAAGCCCACATATATTAATGCATTGTCTCCAATGAATGGGATTATTTTGTGTATATCAGTCTGAGTACCCAATTTAGACATGTTCTAGCTCAAAGAAAAATTGAATTGTTTTCTGACTATATTGTCTATGAAAGGAAAGGGAAATATATATATGGGCTGTCAAGCTGTGTTTGTTTTATTATCTGAACTGTTTCTGCTTGGTGTCTGCTCCATAGATATTAAAGTACTGTGAAATATTCCTTGCTTGCTGATTTTTATCCAGAATGGAAACTAGGCTTTTGTCTTCACTAGAGAATTCTTGTCAGGATATTTTTCTCCTCCAATCTCTCTCCGACAAATAGACTGGCAAAATGGAGCATACTCCAAATACAAACTGTGCTCACATTTAGGGTTGGTCTACACTTAAGATGGCATGTTGAGTACATATACTGCACTCCCATCTAGTACAGGTACAAATAACAGTGCAGACACTGTGGTACTGTCTTGGCAAATACTGCAAAGACATACCACAACCAAAGGGCAAATATCCTATACACCCAAGAGTGCCTCCCATGCCTACACTGCTGTTTTTAACAATGTAGTGTCCCACTGCCTCAACTTTCCCTGCCATAGCGAACAACTCTGGCATCAGAAAAAGGCTACAGTAGGGGAGCAGGCAGGGGGATACTGAGCTCCTCACTGTTACTGCAGGGCTACTCAACATGCGGCCCGCAGCCTA